ACATTTTTAGATTTGAAATTGGTATCCAGATTTTCAAAGCCGTGTGAACTTGTCAGTCGTAAAGATAAGGGAATTGTTTTCCTCTGAAATTCTGTATCTACCTACAAGCCACTTAAAACATTATCGGCATCTTCACCGCCATGCAAACCCCAAACCAAATTCTCTTATTTGCCTCGCCGGCACACGTAAACCAACAGTGTCCATAATAGAATGTCAAATTATTTTGCCCTTAAAGACATTAACAAGAAATAACTCATCGAGATGTCGTCGTCTGGAATAGAGTGTTCTCAAATTTAAAGTAGATAAAATCAATTTATATTTGCGTGGGTTATTAAACTGAAAAAATCGGTAATTGCACAAAAATGAGTACTAACATAATATACGTACATATATATGTACTCAACTTTATAAGGAACTCTATATATTAGCGACTTTAAGAAATTTTGAATGAATTGTGACGTTCGTTATAGCGAATGTTGGTAAATAGAACGTTCGTAAATCGAGAGTTGCCTGTACAACTGTGTTTTAAAAGGTTAATACACACCGCCTTTGTGCGTAAATTCGAATCTGGTACCATCGTTACACGTAGCATACTAACAACTATTCCATACCACTTACAGTTAATATTTTCTGAGTGTGGGTTCCGTTAAACCTCGCATTACGTGAAAGAACCGGTGGAACCACATTAGGATGGGCAGTAACAAGGTCGTTCGGCAATAAGAGCAGATCTGTTGTAAGTCATGTCACAGGGATTGGAATTTCTCCACGAAAATGCAGACGACCTTCTTCAGATCAAAAAAGAAAACAGATGAAGACAGCCTGGCGCTCCTTAATGCTACTCTGCATGCAAAACATCATAACTTCAGAATACGGATTTGCAGGGCAGACGCTTTCAACGTGGGTCCTTGACTTGTCTCCAAACTAGTTTACAGCCACAGAAAGGCGAAGACAGTTTTTAAGTCATTATTATTACTATTTGCTAACAGTCTGTTTATGGTGACAATTTCATCAAGTGTGAAGGTTACCCAATGCCTCTAATTCAAAGCGGTTTGTGGTCAGCTACTCGCTCCCATGAGCGTATGTAGGGGAGAACGGGTAAAATTGCAACAATTTTTTATTTTATTATTTTTATTTTTACACAACTAGAATTGATCTTCCCTGTCGATTGTGTACAACACTTCATCAGCTTATAGGCCGTTTCGAATATTGTTACATGATAAATATTCTCCATTTCTCATCCGGAAATTGAAATAAGTCACTCACTGACATAAGTGACATAGTTTGATGAAGAATGTTCAGAATTTATAGATCGAAAAAATTTCAATGTTTGCAGGACCCAAACAAAACCTTTTCCTTCGAATACTCTATCAGGAAAGTTCAAGATAGGCAGGAGGATTTGCAATTGAACGGGACACATCAGCTATTGGCATGTGCTGATGATGATAATTTATTTTGTGACGATATGAATACAATAAACAGGAACGCAGAAGTTTTACTAGAGGCTAGTAGACAAGTGGGGCTAGAAGTAAATTCAGAAAAAACTAAGTACATGTTAGTATCTCGTCATCAGAAGACAGGCGGGCAGAATTGTCTTAGGGTGGCTAATAAATCCTTTGAAAGGGTTACAAAGTTCAAATATTTGGGAACAACAATAACAAATCAAAATGA